TCCGACGTTTCAAAATATTTTATTTTTAGTTTTTTTTATACAAATTGTATGAATATGAAATTTGGTACATGCCATCTTCTCATTGGGGCGCACCGATAAAAAATATTAAAAGTAATTTTTCGAAAAAATATAATGACCAAAATACCCCTTGAAACTTTCATGAGTATTTTGGTCATTTTATTTTATTGAAAATAATGTTTTTATATTTGGGAAAGGTTTCTATACTTGCCCTACAGCATACAAGATCTATGCTTCCCCTACCATCCAGCCGTCCAATTTGGATCAAGAGAGCTACTCACCATTTGATCTTAGATCCAACGTCTCAAAGTATTTTATTTTTAGTTTTTTTTTTTATAAAAATTGTATGAATATGAAATTTGATACGTGCCATATTATCATTGGGGCACACCTATAAAAATATTAAAAATGATTTTTTTATAAAATATAATGACCAAAATACCCCTAAAAATTTAGGGGTATTTTGGTCATTTTATTTTATTGAAAATATTTGTTTTATATTTTTTTCTAGTGCGAGTTTAATAAAGGATTGGATGTCCAAAATTTGATGTCAAAATATTTTATATATAAAAAATAAAAATAAAATAGTGTAGAGACATGACATTGTGATTGGGGCAATCTTAGCCCTCCATTCAAAATGGACGGTTGGATAAGGGGAAGTATTTAATTTTTATGCTGTAGGTAAAGCATAGAAATCTTTCTTTTCTATTTTTCGTTAATGCTAGTTTAATAGAAGATTGAGCGTCCAAAATTTGGTGTCAAAATAGTTTGGAAAAAGTTTATGTAAGGATGCTACCTTATAATGTAGAACTACGGATGCTCCTAAAAAATCCATCAGAGAAGGTAGTTTTAATGTTGAAAAACTTTTGATTGATCATATCGACATCGAGATGTATGACTATGAAAAATAAAATGATTTTAAGTCTCAGAAATAGTCCATTTTACAACATATTATCTATACCGTCCATTTTCAAGATTTTCATATGTTTATAGATCTACTTGATTTTAACCAGTTTTGAAATTTAAAATTTTATAATTCGATATAAAAATAGATTTTGAGATAATCCTAAGAACATTTTACATCAAAATTATATTCCATGATAAAATTTGAAGGTGCACCTTACCTCTACACCTACGGATACATCCGTATGCAAACTGCACCC